TAAGTTTTGAGGAGAAGTAAAACAAAAACCTCAGAGGTCAGTGTGTTTTGAGGTGGGAAACGTCTATTAATGTATTACAGACAGGCAATTCGTTTTTGTAATGAAACAGCTGTAAATACATACATGTTTTAAAATCTTAAAGAGAACAACAGTGAGAAATGCCCGGCTTTAAAATGCACGATAAACAGAACCATTTGCTCGACTTATACGACATCACTGTATTTTACAACTGTAAGACAGAAATAGAAATAAACTTGAGATATATTGCAGAGGCTGAATGTATTCTATTTACAAACTATTTTGTAGTCTCATTACGTCGTTACAGTTGATATCACTACGTCCTGTCATGATGTACATGACGAAAGTGTATTTTTCATTATGAAAGAGTCATTCGTATGTCTGTAATATTCAAAGCACATCTCTCTTCCCTGCTTGCTTTTATAATCCATGTAGCGTACGGGAACGACGCCAGATATCTTCATGTGGAATACCATGAGTGCCCATTTTATTCTCCAGTTGCTTGAGGTATGCGACGTTGAAAGGGTACGTGGAAGTAACTTATGTGCACGTAACTTGTGTCGCTTTTCCAGAAGGAGATCCTTCTTGATGATGTTGTGTGCTGATGCCTGGAACATGTGGACGGTTTATGCCACTGACGTTTGTGTTCGTATATTCTCACCTGTTATAAGGCGTTGCACTTTGCTTTCTATGGCTGAGGTATTACTTGTTGCAGGTCACGTTCTTGATGGTTCTAGTGCCCCAAGTTGATCCATATTATTTTGTTTTTCAATGTCATTAAGCAAAAGGATATCATCGTCTTGGAAAATCTTCGAGCTTAAAACATCTTTATGATCTGAGTATATGATTTTTTTTGTTGGAAAGGGCTAGTACACACATTTCCCAAAACGGATCTGTTTTCAGTGGCATTACACTACCTACTAAACGCCAAACAATGTAAAATATTAGTTCTGATACATAGCGTTCCATTGCAGCATTGTATCGGCTATAGTTATCCATAACTTGCTGATTTGCATATTCAAAACTGTTACAATTGAAAATTTGAATATGTTTGCATAGCTGCAGTTAAGAGTTATATTTTATTATCTAATTCTCACGATTATGTTACAGATTGAAAAATTATATAGGTTTTACTAAATGCCCTATAAAACCCAAATGGGGTGGCTTTATCCAAGAAGCTTGAATTTTCTCAGCCTAATTATCTCAAGGCCATTAACTACCGTGTTTGCTTTTAATCAAGCATTTTATTGGGTCATCAAGTGTTTCAAGAGCCATATTAATTTTGCAGCTAGACTTAAAAGAAATAAAGTTAAACCATAACTTCGTGTAGAATAACAAGCATGACAGAACACCTTAAAATCACTGGACAGAGCAAGTATGGATTTGATCTCTCGAAATATGAGAGTCAGAAGAAATTTCTGTAGAACCGTTTTAAGTAACGTGTTTAACTGAATCTGCCCTAAGTTTAAAAGATGGTATTTGTTTGTTTTGGAATGCTTCTTCCCATTTAAGTTTATGGTGTTAAATAGTGTTATATATATTTATATATATGGCTATAGTTTCCTGTATTTATATAATGCTGATTTGTGTTACTGACGTTATAGATAATTATGATTATACTCACCCCCAAATAGTGCCTGATCATATATTCCTTAAAATGTTACGTTTTTAGGGGCAATAAAATCTAATAATGCAGTTTCTTATTTAAAATATAATCTGAACCAGCTAGTTTTACTTTAAAAATTTTGGATGAGAAAATTTAGAATATGGCTACACTTTAGTAAACATTTAGTAATACAATCTGATACAAACACTGCGAAGTAAATGTATATCTTTGACCTCTATTTCAAATAATTTAATACGTTATATTTTCATTTGAAATAACCTAGCACCTTTCGCCGAGCACATCTAAAACCTAATAATACCTTCTACTCTTAAACACAACAAATTGTACTTTAACGCATATGTGTGAAAAGTGTAAAAGAAAAGAGTTATCTAATAACATTCTGCACTGGCTCTATGATTTTTGTTAGATTAAAAGTGAATAGCTAACTACTCCGCAGATAAATTGTGTAGTAACATTTTACTTTTGTCCTTATGGTGATTCTGTTTAAAAGAATATAGACATAAAAATAGAAAAGATGGAAATACATTAGGTAGAAAAAGGTTCTTTGAAAAACTGTTGATGAATTCGTGTAAAAGTAACTATATTTGAAACTGTCTTCCCAAATAATGGGGTAGCAAGTCCAGATGTGGTTGTGGCTTGCTTCATTACTTCTATTAAAACACCCAGTGTTGTAATGTACTTTGTTGTAGATATATATTCCAGAAACAGACGTGAGGGACTAATATATTCCCATTTGAAAATATTTTATAAAATGTTTAAAGCATTATGGGCGGTATGCAACCACGCACGTTGTAAATTAAAGTAATGTATAGAAACATTCCAGCCCTACAACAATTTCAGAAAGAGGTGTTTCAAAAATTACTTTCATACATCTGAACATATTTTTCAAATTAAATTTGTATAAGTACATTGAAAAAATTGTGTATGGATAAGCTGTTTTCATAACGAGTAATAAAATTTAATAGGCATCGTATAATTGAATACCTATTCTACAAACTTGATTATTGTGGTTGTAAGTGAACAAGCAGCATACCTTAACATGTTATCAAATTCAATTAATCTTCCACTTTGCTATAAGCCAGCTATAGTTATGAAAAACAAGTGCTTTAAGCACATTGTAAAACATGCTTCCATAAAGCGCCTTTCATGTTAATTGAACCACTATAATATAATAGTTTGTAAATACGTTTTAGTCATTGCAACAAAGTCTGAACTTTAAACAAAAATTCAATTTATCTTACGTATAAGTAAAAATAATATTTCCGTTCCAGCGTACCCTGATTTGTAAGATTAAGAAAAGAAGATACATTAATGTAATGATAGTGGGTACATCATGATAATGCATTATGTATAAGTCACTACTGAACATCCCCATGGTAGATAGATCTCTACGAGTAATACATACTTTTCTTTGTAAATATGATTTGATCTAAGATCCATTATCTGCAAAATACAAACAATCTCTTTAGCTTTTCCATAGCTTCTATCTTCCTTTCAATCTGAGGAAAGATTGTCAGCAAATAATTTCTATTAGTCTAGTTCTAAAGCAACGTTACAAGATTATTGAATATATTTGGTTTTCTTTGCTTGAAACATCTTTCAAGTTTTGTGTGTGCTGAACATGATATGAGCTTTTTTATTTGTTTGCTCATTGAACTGTGAGAGAAATACATTACTGTAACTAAAAAAATATATATATATATTAGTCTAAGGCATGTAGGATTATGGCTAAGTAATCCAAGACAAGAGGTAGAAATCTATATGGAACAGAACCGGAAATTCGACATCATAGCCGGAAACGATTCAATTGAGTTATTCAGAAACTTTATTAAAACCCAAATATAAACAAGAGAAATATATATGTATATATACACACACACATACAACAGAAAGGAAGAGACTTACTTTTAATACAGATCATCTGTTCCAGTTGTAAGCGCTTTTGTGGAGCAATAACTTAGACAAAATACGGAAAGCAAACCTTCAATCCAATAAAATAAGCATTTCCAAAATTTTTTTGTAGCCTTCCGTAATGTTTTTGTTACAATTGCATTAAATCTCTTCTTTTTTGGTCTTTCTAACAGAATATATTATATAGATGTGATGTTGAGCTGTGTTTTGAACTTAGTTTTTTTTAGTGAAATAACAGCGATTTATGCCTTGTTCTAAGATAAATTGAAAAATATGTAATGTATCATAATATTAATTTATTAATTAATAATAGTTAGTTTGTAATGTACGTTCCTTAGTACTCACATCTTTTAATGAAAAGGTGGTTTACTAGAAAGGACACTTTCGCTTATATATATATTGAAAATCAATGTACTTGGACACACATTTGTAGAATACTTCAAGTCATTTTATATACAAAGTAGACTAACTATGTAATGTTTCAGATGATGTTTGAACCCTATAACTACAGAGATATGTATAGTTTATAATACGTTTAGTAAAAGTAAGAATTTCCCTACTTTCAAAGAGTTCCTATGTAGTAGGAATGTAGTTATCAGAAACGGTTTCTTTGATTCGATATACAAAGACACATTTTTCACCAGAGTCTATCAACATTGGCAACTGAAAGAGAATACGCCTGCCACTAGAAAATACTGTGTTCGCCAACTGCTGTTGACTTTAAGAGTAAATGGCAGTAAAATAGATAGTAACCGCTACGCATAACTTAAAGAGCTATACTCAAAGGTAGATCGTATAAATTAAACCTAATTGCATTAACTAGACTCATCTTAGGCTATGAATTAAAGTAAAACATACGAGCAAATATTAAAAAAATACTGTGAATGTTTCGGAGACAGATCTGTAAGGTTGTACTTGGTGCATATTTACCATTTGCTAGGCAATCAACACTACTTCTGCTGTCAATATTTCCTCCGCATTAAATTTGGTTGAAGATATTGTGATACACTAGTTGTAAACCATATTACGATAATATAAAGAAAAGTGTTACTGTGTAAGTTAAGAATATTTTTTTAATTTAAGCTAGACCAGTTGAATCGGTCCTATATTTGAATGTTCTGATTTCAATTTACGCTTTTAAAATGTTCTCTTTTGTTCTTTTGAAATAATAACTCGATGTGTAAACAGATAGTAATGTATGAAATGTTAATGGCTTTTGAATTATATCATAAAATGACCCTGTTTCTCCTAATTTAAGAAAACTTCATAGAAAAACTTTAACTCCGAATGCATTATGCCAAATATGTAAAAAAACAATATTTATATGTACAAACATTATCTTCCGAATATAAGCGGCACGCAAAAATGTTAACAGTCGGTAAATGTGTTAACGTTAATATAATATTTATACATGTCTCAGACATATTTTTCATTACTTTCATAGATACTAGAGGCCAACCATTGAGAACCTTCAGCGATAACTATGATCATATAGAAACTCCAAGCATCTGCAGGCGAAATATTGAAGGACTGGAGCCTCTGGTGTCTCACGAGCTAGATGTACTTAGACAATTTCTACACATTTCTAAAGCAAATAAAACAAAACTGAAACTTACATCAGCATCGCTCACGTGGAACATAGATGAAGCTTTAAAACTGCTAAACTTTCTCTGTGGATTTCAGCTCAAAGTGGAAACCGAGGTTCTATTTCCTTTTTCTCTTTCCTCTTTGAAGAGACTCCGACGAGAAACTAAAGAAGAAACAAAAACAGTTGTTAGTAGCCAAACCATAGTTTTGACCTGTCCCGTTAACGAAAGAAATGCCCAAAACGTCGCCTGGAACAAAGGTGAAATCCAGCTTTTACAATTTACCGAAATCAGTTGTTAAGTTTAGATAACGGCTATATATTCAATATGTTACTGGCAATATTAAGAATTTGGCGTAATTTTCGATGAAGCGGTGTCTTAAAGGAAGTTAGAAGTAGTATTTTTCACAAACGCCAAACAACATTAATTCCTCATTAATTAAGATCATGAATACGCTTTATGCTATAGCAGTTTTAAAAATAAGCGTGTTATATCATTAAACTTGCGAGGTAAAAATATACATCTGAAAACAACTTGCCCGTATTGTCCGTTGATATAAAAAATAAATTAAACAGGCGCCTTTTCTTGTAAATATGAATACTAAAAGCAAGCAACAATAATATACAGGTTTGAAATCTTATCTATTGAGATCCTTTGAGTATCTATGCTTTCAACAGCTTTTCTTGATGTTAAAAAAACCGAGTTGTTTCCCCATCTAGTATAGGTCATCAAATGATTTTCGTGCTTTATGTTACTTATTACTTTCCTCTTGCATCATGGGAAATATATTATTTTCCTTTTCCAGCACAAGGTTTCTTCAACAAATAATAAACAAGCAGCTTTGATCTATATGGAAATAGAAAGCTGTACATCTTGATTTTTTTTATTTGTTTTTATTTCTAGAAAATACAGGATTACGATCTCCTTGTCTTGATTTACTAGTAACTGTTCTAAAATTTTACATCTTGGCTGAGTAAAAAATAACCCATGAAGACATAGTAAAAAATAATAATATTATTACAAAGAAATGGCATATCCAATTTCTAGGCTGGAGAGCAAAAGATATAGAAACTAAAGCTATGTTTATGTAATGAGGCGACTTAAAAACAAACAAACAGTAAAGAAAGTATAATAATGTAAAATAGCTCCAGAAAACAACGAATTTCAAACAACAAGACCAATTATTTTCAGTAACATTATTATTTGCATTCAAGACTACCCTCATTCAAAACAAAACATGCAAAACTAAACAATTATAATTCAACCGTAATACAAAGAATATTTAAATACAGCAGAAGTTATATATATATATATATATCATTTGTATGTGTATATATAAATACATATGTGAATATACGTGTGTGTATCTTGTACAGGAACCCGTCTACCGATAGCAAAAACTTGTAATTTTTCATGGCAAAAAAATCTACAAAATTGGACTAGATTACACAAACTTCCGCACAAAAGCAATTACCATACTTCAATGAATAATAATGGAGAACAAAGAATAATTTCCATAATAATAACATCGACTGGTTTTCTGAATTGAATTTTTAGAGATAAACTTAAGTCGAATGACAATAAGTTTTTTTGTTTTTTCTAATCCAGCTACAAACGTAAAGTATTCAGAATTGCCCATGGATCTTTTTTTGTTGCACTATTTTTTCTTCCTGCAATTTTAGTCGAAGTCTGAACCATAAGGCCTGAAAGGACGTTTAACCATAGCTAATGATGCGAACACGAAACTTTACTATCATTTTCAAGCCACATCAAACTCTGTATTACCTTTCGTTACGTATAGTAAGTCACGTTTCATAGATAATTTTTCCACAAAAAGTAAATGTTTGTAGAAGAAGAGATGAAACATGACTTTTCCTTAACAATGGTTTAAAGTATGACGTAACTAAACCATATATTAATTGAAAATACAGTAGTACGTAAAACAATAGAATAATAATTCATTAGACTTAACATCTGTGACTAGCTGCAAAAGTTTTTGAAATATTCCTTGTAATTAGTCCAATTATGGATTTCTAACCAGAGGCGTGTAAAAAAACAGCACTTCCTCTGTATTTTTTTCTGCCACAAGTTGCTGCTCTGGTACCTTTTCGTTTTGTATCAGAACTCATCGGTTGGGATGGACCTTTGGCAGTCAAAATTCACTTGCTAATATTGGGCCTAATGACTTTCGTCAGATTCGACTTTTTCTACTACAACATAGTGGCGTATTATTGTTTGTATGTTATGAGGAAAATGTTAATTTATTTTCATTTTACTATTTCAGACAGTTTCGCCTTGCCTGTCAACGCTAGGCAGAGTATTCTGAAGAATGGAAGTTTGCTCATACAAGAAGTAACAAAAAATAGTGACGAAGGAACATACAACTGCCGTTACCATGACAATCGGCTTAGATCAAGAAATCATGTAGTCATTCTACGAGTGATCGGTATATATTATTACATAACAAGCTAAATTTTCTTTGACATATCTTGCATATTGGTCAACGTCTGCAGATTGCTGAATTTCGCGGTTTTAACACTGTGCATGTAAAAAAAATCAAAAACAAAACATAGACCAAGCAACATAAGCAATTGAAACTAGATATTTTCGTATTTCTGTTAAAAAGTAGCATTTCAATATGGGGAAAAATCTAATCAGAGGGTGACAATTTTTTTTACACACAAAGTTAAATATTTTATTTTAGGAAGCTTTTCAAGTGGTATTTTGAAATGTAAGCTTTGGGTAAGATACGTGATATTCTTTAAATGTATCTAATACGTCTTTTTTAAGCTTTTTATTACGTTCAATAGAAAATTTCGTAAAATTATCTTCCCTACAGTTAAAGCTATTTCAGAGTTTTATTGAAACGTCTTTCCTAAGATGTATTTCAGTTGTAGGGATGTTGAGAAGCAGGCTTCAGAAACAAGCTACTCCTATCGAGTAAATATACAAGACATTTCCTATCTCAGGTTTCAATGAACATCTGTTTTTGCATGTTACATTTAAAGGGAATTTCCTATTTCAAGTTTCAAAAACCAACTGTTTCTACTTGCTATATCTAAAAATAATTTATTATTTCAAGGTTCAAGAAACAACTACTTCTATATAGAGAAATCGTTTGGTAATATCTAGCTTTATTTACTTTCACGTTATCATCCTATATTTTATGCAACTCTATATTACACTTGTAATAAATTTTAGTAGCAACCAATACCATTTTCAAAGATTTCTTCCCAGTACTTTATTCAATCTTAAATCTGTTTCGACTCACTTAACGTGGCATTATTATTTATGTTTGTCGTTGTTGTTTCAGAACCTCCAGCGATCTCTCCCTTCCAATTCCCCTCAGATGCTGTAGTGGGGATGAGGATCAGAATAATGTGCTCCGTCATTCTTGGAGACCCACCATTTCATTTCACATGGCTAAAAGATGGAGTCATTCTCTCTGCAAGTTACGGCCTAAGTGTACAATATTTTCAAGATTACAGTATTCTTTCAACAACAAATTTAGTCCCAAAAAATTCGGGCAACTACACTTGTAGCGTCAGCAACGGTGCAGGGACTGCAAGTAATAGCGCCCTTTTAATAGTGAATGGTAAGTCATTTTACTTAATTACAAAAGAGGTACACAAAAGATATAACTAAAAAACCTCTAATGTGTTGAGCTCTGGAAGGGGAACGGGTTCCCCCTCTCAAAGCGATATTTTATGCTTTGTTCGATAGATAATCATAATCTACAGACATCTTAATTTTAAGTTTTATTTTAACTCACTAGAATGAGATCCTAAAAGTGCACGGCCCCAAGAAAGGCACTTATTTAACAGTAAATTAACATGGATTAGTCAAATAATTCTGTTAGTTCACGTGCAGTTTATAAGCAAGTGATGTCAAACAGAACTCTCGTTAAACACTGAATATATAGCAAAATAATTCGGTTATTCTAATACTGGACACGAATAAAATGTAGTTACCAAAGAGTTGTAAACGAATATTACTAGACTTACGGTGCTCTCAGATTGTCCTGACTTCTCTCAGAGTAACATGCAGGATCCGAAAATAATTTCAGAATTCCATAGATACTGTACACTGAAGCGGTGCCTTTATTTGCCTTCCCTCTGACTGTTTCATTGACTGGACGTAAGTCTTTATTAAAGCAAAGACAAGTTTATATCAACGCTTAAATAAAAGCTTGTGTGCTCGACTGAAGATAGAAATTTAACTAAAGTTTAACTAAAAGCTGTGGAAAAATAAAATATATCAAAATGCAGTCCAGTCGGATATCTAAAGTCCGAAATCTAGTAAGTCTATCTAAAGTTTACCTTATGATGTTAGAAAAACGCGTAGGTTCGAGAAGTCTTGATAGAAATGAATAAAAACCCTATAGCCCAAGCACTTTCGAAAGGTGGACCTTTCTTCTTCTGGGACAAACTGAAAAAGAAAGGTCCATCTTTCGAAAGCGCTTGGATTATAGGGTTTTTATTCATTTCTAACGTTTACCTTAAACAGAAAAAACATCACAAAATATTCAAGGTTGCCTCTCTCCAGACAAACTCGTTATCCACGTGACAGAGGGCTACTATAATGCCCAAAAGGGATGTCATATTCTTTGGCCAGTCACATGTCTTGCCAGCAAAGCAAATCAGTGTCTCAATCTATAGCGTTTTTCATGCTACGGCACGATCTCTCCTAATTAAAAACACATATGATGTCCTTCTAATTCACCCAATTATGTTAAGAACTAAAACAAGAGAAACTTACCAGTTCCCTTGGTCGATGTTCTATATAAAGATCGAAACCTGAAATACCCTGAAAATTTGAAAAAATAAATCTAGTTACTCATCGCAGTTGATATGGCTTACATATTTATTTCCATCATAAAGTTAAACAATGTGAGCTGTGTTATTATCCTAGTTTAAAACACGCTAGAAACATACTTTCATTAAGTGAATCCTTTATAGACAGCTCCTTGCATAGTAACTACACATCGATTAATATAAAGGGCTGAGTAGGTTATATTGAAAGTGCAAATCAGCAAGTCACGTAACAAACACAGCCGATATAAAGTTGCGATGAAATGACATTTTGACATTGCACAAAGTTTCTTATATAGTGTGATACCACCGAAAATTGATCGCTTTTGGGAATGGATGTAAGAGCCCTTTCTGACACAAAATATTCAGATATTCAGATAGTAAATATGTGATTTATCTTGGATTTAGTATTTCCAAGATGAGGATATCCCTCGTATTTAATGACATTGGAAAACAAAGGAATATGGATCAATTTAGGGCATCAAGAGACCATCCCAAAACATTTCTGCAACAAGTCTGTCCCAGTAATGGTAAGAAAAGTGCAGTTACTCTAACAGGTAAGAATCCACGAACAGAAACGTCAGTGGCAAAAGACGTCCACCTTCCCTAAACAACAGTAGGTAACATAACCATAAAGATCTTTATCTATATAAGTCAAATTTAAAGATATTACTTCCATATTTGTACAACTGTCGCTTACCTCAAACAGCTAGAGAAGGAAAAGGGTATTCATGCTATTAAACACGGAGAAATACTGATCTAGTTACCGGACACATTGCCTATGGATTTCTGTGCAACTGGACTGTTGAAACAGGCACTGGGAACCGTCATCCTCGTACAATACACGGATTCGTGGATCATGAAAAGCAAGTAAGGAAGAGTGATGTGCTTTGGAAATGACAGTGTTAGAAAGGAGTTTTTTGCAATAGAAACTACGCTGCAGGGCTATTGTCAAGATGCACAGTTTTCAGATAGAGTACAACTGGGTGTGGTGACGTGAAGTTTAACGGCATGATGAGGCTCCTAACTCATTTTCATATAACGTACTCAACCTCTGTATCTTGAATAAGATAATTATCATTGCAATATATGATATTATATTGTTTTGGACTCTGCACAGTATAAACATATATATATATATACGTTGATAAGAAAAAAAATATCTCATTAGAAAAGCAGATGCTGTTATACATATACTTGGTTTCTGAACTTCTATCGCATATATCGACTTGAATGTCCGTAACATGTAAATTTTTAAAATCACAAATAATATTTAACATTTAATTGTGTACCAGTTTAACGTTGAATATTATTTGTGATTTTAACTTTATACACAAGTGCCAAAATACTATAATTATGTAAATATTTATCCCTTTTTTTTATTATTTTACTTATATTTTCCGAATATTAATGTATAATGCTAGTTAAGTAAAAGTTTGTTTAGATGGTTTGGCAGATTTCGCTCAGAGTTAATGCAAGAATAATAACGTCATATTAAAAAAAATACTTGTGCAGAATAATGAGGAAAATATGATCCGAATTTTGAGACTAATGATACAATCTAAGAATTCCACAAAAGGCGAAAGTAAACAGACAAAAACAACTATTATACTATGCGCAGCATTTCTGTTTGAAATGAGTTGAAACCTAACACTTGTATTCCTTATGAGAAATATTGACTGGATACCAATCTTAGTCAGCGTATGATTTACGTGGAAAGAGAGACAGAAGCCATATTTATTTTGTTTCTAAGTTGCGACAGATGGCCTATTTCCCAAAATTACTATTACTATTGGTGAACATATACTAAGAAATATTATTTAAGTAGGAATGGCACCCTTCGGGGCCTATTTTATCTCGTACACTTCGTGAGTTTAATGAACTATTGGATTTGTAGCAACTTGTAAGAATGTCGAAAAAAAATACAACCAAAATCAATTCTCATTACTTAAAACCACAAGAATAACCTGATTCAAATCATTATAAACTCAGTAATACAACAGAATGTCTTTATTAATCCACAAATGTTTTTCTTTCTTCTTTTTACTTATTCATTGTTATTGGGACACGAAAATAATTTACTATGAAAAAATAGCACCCCCACCCCACCACCACCACCAAATATATGTATATGGAACTTAAGTCTTAGAAACTACGATTTCCAACGACTTATCATCATTAAAGAATAATCCAACTCTTCCTGTCGAAAATGCTTTAAGCCTTTATTATACACATCAATAAGATCTCGAAATATAACTTTGTGATTTACGGTAATGTGTTCAAGAACATTAACAAATGGTTAATTTAAACAAAACATTAAGCTTTACGACGGAGCTACTCAAAAACTATTTATGACTTTATTTAAACGTTCTGGGTGACTTTATTAAACGATTAAAATTCCAATATTTTGGGTATGAATTATGATAAGGAGGAACAAAATTAACATGTTTGAATACTGACGCTGCATTTCAAGAAATTTTTCTTATACCATTTGAAACTTAGGACACGTGTATACTGACACAAGTATTTCAGTACTACTGTTTACTTTTCAGAATAAAGATTCCAGAGAAGAATGCCGAGCTAGAGTTGTTTCCTTTGCTTGTGTATTGTTTTGTTTTTGTTTTTCGCGCAAAGCTACACGAGGGTTATCTGCGCTAGCCGTCCCTAATTTAGAGGGAAGGCAGCTAGTCATCACCACCCATCGCCAACTCTTGGGCTACTCTTTTACCAACGAATAGTGGGATTAACCGTCACATTATAACGCCCCCACGGCTGAAAGGCGAGCATGTTGGTGTGATGGGGATTCGAACCCGCGACCCGCAGACTGCGAGTCGAGCACCCTAACCACCTGGCCATGATTGCTTGTGGAAGGAAATAATGAAAAATTAGTAACATCTTTAGGCAAGGTTGTATGTTTGCTGTATGATTACTTACCCCAGTTAAGAGGGTCACAGTGAAAATACTGCCTTTCCATAAAGAGTTTAGAATATATCTGTAGTAAGATATACTCGGGCGATTTTGTGTAAGAATTTTACGTGTATATAATGAGCGAAAGGTCATAAATATGTACTACTCCTTTTGATTAAGTAAAGGTTACATATGGCAATGGCTATGTCATAGAAATTCATACCAGTTTGGCCCTATGTCTATGTCCTCTACTAAGGATAAGGCAAGCCCACCTCATTCAGTAACAAAATGTGTACAAGTTGGTAGGAGTTGGGCGCTATGTCTCTTGAATACGTCATTTGGAACAGTCGTTGACTTGCATAATCTATAGATTAAAAAATACCCACCAAGGTCCTTTAACTTGAAAGTGTGATATAACATTATTTTTGTTCTCCTTGTTCTGTGGAGACGCATTTCAGAAAACCTTCTTATTCCAATAGTCTGTTGAAGTCGCCACGGGAAATATAAGCTGGCTAGTTAGCAATAAACATGAACGTAGTTGTGAAAAAAAAAGCTTTATTTTTATTAGTTTAATTGTATTTGCATGTTTTTCTTTTGTCGTTTGTGTTCAATTCAATCTTTATTTAACATTTCTAAACCTGCGTCTTTCGGTTACTTTAACATATCTGTCGAACATATGTGTACATGAATACCACAAGCGCCGCGGAATACTTTACCCACATAAACATTCAGATACATTATATGTTACTTGAGTAAAGCATCGGGATCCATATTAATAACGCAGGTCACTCAGAAGTACGATACTGAGGACAAAGTAATGGATACTAACTAAATCATGTACGTTGCCTTTGCAAATCATCAAGGTGCACAATTCTGGCTTACGCTAGAAAATCCTGATACATCTTACCCACGTGGATCATTCAGATAAATGTGGCCCGGCATTGCCAAGTGATTAGGGCGCTTGAAGGTCGCGGGCTCGAATCCAAATATGCTCGCCCTTTCAGCCGTGGGGGCGTTATAATGTGATGGTCAATCCCATTATTCGTTGATAAAAGAGTAGCCCAAGAGTTGGCGGTGGGTGTGTGATGACTAGTTGACTTCCCTCTAGTATTTCACTGTTAAATTAGGGACAGCTGGCGCAGATAGTCCTCATGTAGCTTTGCGCGAAATTCAAAACAAACCAAACCAGATACATTGACTCGAGGTAGAGTACTTTAAGATACATTAATCACGAATATCGGACTTTTGTATTACAGTAGAGTGTCCTCAAATGTGTTATCCATATGGATCATTCAGATACATTATGGTAATTCAAAGTAGAGCATCCCAAAACCTGTTATCTGTATAGATCATTCAGATACAGGGTGGTTGGCTATACGGTAGAGAATTCTGAACAGCTTAATACACACAATATATTTTGATTAATTTAACTTCTTCAGTTGAATTAACCTCGTTCTGACTAAGATCTTATTACATTTCTCTTTAAATAGTCTTCCAGTTGGACAGTGGTAAGTCTACGGATTTACAACACTAAAATCAGGGGTTTGATTCCACTCGGTGGACAAAACAGATAGCTCGAGATAATTTTGCTATAAAACACAGGCTCTTCAATTAAACGACTTAAATTTATAAAGCCTAGAAAAGCTTTTTTTTAAAAGAAATTAATTATTTTTCGTACTGATATTTTAGAATGCGTTGTAATGGCAATTCCCCATTAATCTCAACAGTCAGAAACATTTTCTGTGCAACAATATATTCTTTATTGTTTCGTACTATTTTGGAAGAAATTCTAACCCATAAACAATAGGGAATCCTCAATAGCCGCGGTACTTGAAATTCTTTTAGGCAGGATTAGAGTAAATTAATCTATAAGACCTTGGGCGTGGTCAAATACAGCAATCGAAAGGATTTGACCTCCTGAGTCTAACTGTAATTAGATCTGAAATCGGTCAAGAGATGGCGGAACTATGAGCTAAAAGTTTGTCCTTGAAAAAAATAAAATAAAAGCTCAGAGCCGTTCTATAAGCCGCTATGCCGCGGCTAAAAATTAGAAATAACTTGACGTCATTTACGTTCTTTAGAAAATTTAAAACATGTCTATTTTATCTAATTCAAAAACAAGTTAAGAACATCATATGCTTTTTACAAAAACGAGTTTCCATTTCGCTTTGTTTATAATGTGCATAATAAATTTTGAAGAAAGTTAACAATTCCATTCATCTAGCACCAAATGTTTCACACTGTGATTTGATCATTGCGTTACCATATCTAGTCACATGTAGACTCAGTAAAAAATAAAATAACATGAAAATACTAATTAAAAGAACTTATCCACAAATTAATGTGAAAATTGTTTTAGACTTCAAAAAAGGTAGTATTCCGTTACTCGAACTTTCTCACGTGATATATAAATATTCATATCCTCACTGTAAAAGAGGTTATATTGGCTCGACTATTCAAACACTTGGCACGCCGATTAAGGAACACTCGAAAAGAACGCTTGACGTTCTCTCATTTATATAAGAGCACACATGGAACTGTGGTATTCCTTTTCACAGTAACCTGTTTTCAATCATTGGTTCAGCTGATTGTGAGAGGATGCTTAGGATTAAGAAGCTTTATTCAACAAAGCTTTAAAGATAGAGCTCAATTTAAACCAAAATTAAGCACCATTAAGATATGAAACGCGAGAAAAATTTTTTCTATTGAATCAAGTTAACAAAACCAAAACTTAACTTGAATTAAACTATCATTCTCTAGGGACTAATATGTGAGTCGATCTGCTTTATTAATATAGTAAATATTTGCTAAACATGTGTAGTAAAATCAAATCCTTATCAGACCTATATTAATCTGAAATCCTACTGCATTGAACATATATCAACTTACTTATAAGTAAAAAAAACACAAACATCTTGAAAAAAATGGAGATTAAACATAAATTAACATAAAAAATAACAAAAAAGACTTATACACCTTTACAAACACAGTCTTTACAATAGCTTTTGACAATAGCTGTTGCCATCTTTAGGCGCTAGATCACGTCGATATTCTCGAAAAGTGTAAAAAGTTTCATAAATAAATTGTAACAATCTGGAAAATATCCACAAAAAAAACAAATATACTCCAAAATGTTTTTTCTTTCATATTCGGTATTTTACGTGTTTTTTCATATCATCTTTATCGTACTGATGTGAAAGTTTTTGTAGGAATCGTTCTTTAAAGAGTTCTTTAAGAGACAGAAGTGTTTTGTGTAGCGTGAGTTTTATACCAATACGTGCGGCGTAATATTACTCAGTACTGCAGAAAAGTAATTGTTGAAGAGGATTATCCACCTTGTATATAAAATGTATGCATGGAATGAAACAGGGAAAGTGCTATTAATATGGATGTTCTTGGTTTTATAGTAGTGTTGCTGAAGTTGATATGAATAATTCACTATGTAGTTTATTCTGTCATTAATCTTCATTTTTCTTATTAACATTAGACTTCCTAAAAATAAATCTGTACTTCAGGTTCTAAAAGTAAGATACGGCTGAGTTAGTTTAAAGATTTTCCAAGAGTAGAAGAAAAAGTTTCTTAAGCTTCATAAAAATAGATGCCATTTATATTTTCTGAAAGAATGTAAAAATCATTTCGTTCCTAATTCTTTTAAAGCTAAGAATTTCTTCCAAAATAGTACGAAACAGTTTGTTTGTTAGGGCACTCGACTCGCAATCTGCGGGTCGCGGGTTCGAATCCCCGTCACACCAAACATGCTCGCCCTTTCAGGCGTTGGGGCATTATAATGTGACGGTCAATCCCACTATTCGTTGGTAAAAGAGTAGCCCAAGAGTTGGCGGTGGGTGGTGATGAACTAGTTGCCTTCTCTCTAGTCTTACACTGCTAAATTAGGGACTGCTAGCGCAGATAGCCCTCGTGTAGCTTTGCGCGAAATTCAAAAACAAATAAACAATACAATAATAGCTTATTATTCAACAGGTACACTAGATATTCAAATATAAAATCTTAATATTTCGGTAGACTTTATTTTCGTTCTTCAAATCAACATGAAAACATAACATGTATTGAGCACATATATTTTTTTCTAATATAAACGTTCTATTTTTTCCACCGGCCACGATCATTTCATGTAGATAACAGATTTTTTTCAATGTTTTTACTGTTAAGAATCGTTCAAAATAAAGAAACGTAAATATTATGTCACTTTAATTCCCAATACTTTCTTCGGCAATCAATTATTTTCATAATTAAGGATAAATGAAAGAATCTGAAACCAATAATATCCATTCGTTCCCTCTGTATTATAAGAGCTGATATTGAAAGTTAAACTTATATTGTATGTTACATCAATATATTCGTAACACTATTCCTCGCCGTCTCTGCTTTAGATATATAAACTAATCATCGTAATCAAGGAAAATTTATTTATCACACTGACACGCATATATATATATATATCAAATATTTCAGAAACTGACTCTAATATACGGGCTTTCACTTAGTAATTAAATTTTAATTTATATAAGCTAATTAATAGAGCCGTTTTGTTTATGAATTACGTCATATACAACATTAATGTTCTAACTTCACTGGCCAGTGAAAGTAGTGTTAAGCCTATTTGTCTCCTAATGTTACAATAACTCCATCAGAATTCACGCCAACGAACTTTCAGCGTTAATATTAATCAGTTCATTTCCATTTTAGAGTTTTGTAGGATTACAGTTAGCTTATAATGAACTAGGGAAGTTTTACAGTTAGCTTATAATAAACTAGGTAAGTTTTACAGTTAGCTTGTAATAAACTAGGAAAGTTTAAATTTATCCAAGCTATAAAAATACAAACTGCAAGGAACATTGTTTTTCAATAACATCTACCGCCAACTCCTGGGCTACTGTAATTGGATAATGTGATTTGACCGTCACTCTCATATTGCCCTAACAACCCCAAAGGACGGATTATGACTTCGTATTTTATTTTATGCAGCAACGAGATGCAAACTATAACCATCAGATCCACACGCAGACACGCTAACCAACAGAAAGGATTATTCTAGTCAATATTTATTATATTTCAAAAACATATGTGATGCTATACATATCTATGAAAACCTGAATAATTTTAATCATTCTTCTACATAACCTTTACATTACAAATATTGTTTTAGCCTAAATCACTGATGTGTCATTCCATATTTATAAATCTGATATTTTCCTTTTCAGCGCCCCCTAGCTGGATCGTGGAACCGCAAAATATGGAAGTTGTTCTTGGAAGATCAATTAGAATTGACTGCAGTGCTAATGGCCTACCGAAGCCTAAAATAACATGGAAAAAATCCGAAAGTTAGAGTTTATGTTATTGTATAAAATATTTATAGTTTATAGTGCACTTTAATGTCGTTTTCTTAAATAAAAGTTATCTCTTTAAAATGTACTTCAGATTAATTATTTATATTAGATTAATAATAATATTAATAACTTAATAATATCAAAATAAGAAGAACGTTAATAATGTTATCACTTGAAAAATTCTCAATAATTTGTTGTAATGATTGAACTTGTTAGATAACTGCCGTGAATAATAAGAGATTCCCAAGTTTGCCCCCGAAGAATGAAGGTCCACCTTTCGAAAGCGCTCGAGTTATAGGGTTTTTATTCATTTTTATCAAGACTTCTTGAACTTACGTGTTTTTCTAACATCATGAAAAGATAACATTGTCGTTGTTGTTTTAAATAATCACCCATTTGTAAAATTTAATAAAAATGCATAGTTTGTTTATATTTTCGTAATTGTAAGTAGTTGGGTATCGTACTGCAATAGACGTTTTGGGGAAAAATAACAAAAGAATTGCTAAAAAATTATTATTTAGTGTCCGAAAATAAAAAAAAGCTGGATTTGTTTTACAAAACCCCTAATAATGTAAAGTTCTTGAACAAAACATTTACCTTTAGATTTTGCTACTAACATACTATTTTTGATAATAAATAAAGTTACTTGTTTTTAACAATATTTGCATAAGTAACTTAAAATTATTATTGTTTACCTCAAGCAAACGCTTTGAGCTAAAACAGACAGGTCGATTCTAAATTATTTTTCTGATATATATATGCCTCCCAGTGGCACAGCGGTATGTCTGCGGATTTATAGCACTAAAACCGGGTTTCGATACCCGTTGTGGGCAGAGCACAGATAGCCCATTGTGTAGCTTTGTGCTTAATTCCAAACAAACAAACTGATATATATATTTGTTCTCTGTAACCGAATAACGAGTTGTCAGAAACGTTGGAAAAAGTGCATTGTACTATTGCTGTAAATTCCTAGGTAAATTTCCGCTTTTAGCTACTTTTTTTTTTTCCTTACTACGGATTTTATTCTTCGTTTTTGTGAGTTTGTTTCAACTTGTAAAACAGTGTCATACATTAAACGCTCGTAACTGTTTCATACTCTGTACTCTATTATAAACATCGTTACTTTACTTTATTGTTTACTTTACGTATAGTTTTATTAAATAAAGTTACGTCTACGTAAATTTATTTGTCTGACCGCGTAAAATTTTTACAAATAGACCAGGATTTATCGATCTAACACATAATGCCTGAAAGAAAGCGTAGCTTAAATGATATGAATGAAAATGATAGAATTCAGGCGAATGACATGAAAACTATCGCAAATGTTTTGAAGGTAGCAGCTAGTTTGATTAATATTTCGCTTTTAGGCCTTCTAGAGTCAGCTATGTTACTGAATATCAAATAGAGCCTTCATTTACAGTCAAACAAAAATAAGAAATATATCATATTTAAATATAAGATTTTTATCTATTTATCAATTTTAAAAGAACTGCGATAGACGTAGCAATTTGATAGGTTTCAGCCTTTTCTTTATTTGCCGGCAGTGGCTCAGTGGTAAGCTTGAGAGCTTATAACGCCCAAATTCGAGGCTTGAACCTGTGGAAGGAAAAGCACAGGTAATCCTTTGTGAATTTTTGTGCTTAATAAGAAACAGTCAGATTTCTTTATTGTTTAACGATGTTATAAATATTTTCTTTGTTTTAAAAGAAAGGAGTTCTACGCTCCATTTTTCGACTGAATTTGTCTCCCGATGGACCAGCAGCAAGTTTATGGATTTACAACACTAAAATCCGGAATTTGATTCCCCCTCAGTGGACAGAGCGCTGATAGCCCATTATGTTTTTGCTTTGCGCAAAAACAGCAACAACAACAACCGAATGAAGTATTATGATTTTCATTTGTTGTTGAGTTTGTTTTTAAAAAAATCAAGCAAAGAAGTCATAAAAATAAGTTCAGTAGAAATGATTCCATGAAAACTTTGGATGAAAATATCGACTTTATCTTAGCAGATTATATAATCCCCTAACATCATAGATTTTATGATATTAATATACACTCGCTAACTTACATCATTAACTATGTAAATTATAGATATTTGCTATTAACCCCCTCGAACTTTTGAATTCAAATTGAAGTACCTTGTAATTTAGGCGTGTTGCTAACATTTACTTTCTCGCATCTAATTCTGATTTCAACCCTAATTTAGCAAAACTAACAAAACAGTATGCTTTAAAAGTAATGAAATGTACGTGTTAATTTATTTTTCTAAAGTTTAAATCGTTACTAATCTGATACATTCAACTTCTGTGAATTAATAGTCGACTCATGAATTGTTATTGGCTCTATGAATCTTGTCAAATATTAATTACAATGTAAGATATTTCCCAAGATGACTAGAAATAATTATAAGCTTTACGATCATTTATGCACAATACATAGTTATTTTATTAAGAATCTAAATTCTATGAAAAACCTTATGTTGAAAATTTGAACTTTGAATCGTGTACCGTAAAGCGAAATATAAGAAATCATTGAAACTGCGTTTAAAACTTATCTCTGTAAACGGAATTAGGAGACTGCGTACTCACGAATTAGGCTACTATATAAGTAAATGAAGGAAAAGATAACCGTTATTCTGTTGCTAGCGGGCGAAAGCAAAGAGTTTGAAATAATGAACCATATTTGTAGAGATGTACCATGAAAATAATTGCAATAATAAAGCGGCAGTCCGAGCATACTACAAAAAGTCCAACACAGGATCGGAGCCACTTACATGTTTCTGTCTGCATAATGGTTAGAAAGTCCTCAGAGAGAGGAACTGACTAAGTACCGCTACACACCACTAAAACTCTTGCTGTTATATCCATAGTACGAACAGTTCCTACATGTTGGGAACTGCTTGTACTATGGATACAGCAACAAGAGTTTTAGTGGTGTGTAGCACTTCGGCAATAGTGTCCATTGATGTATTGAAAAACCTTGGCTACAGTTCCTCTCTCTGAGGAATCAAACTGATTTACCATGGAAAGCTTTGTTGTCTTTCATATATTCCTGTAACCCACCCAATGTATAAAGTGCGCGATATGAATCCAGATAAATATTTGAATTGGGGTTTTTTGCCACCTTAATAAAAATTGGCCATGCCGCATAAACCCATTTCACTATTCATAGAAATATCATACCCATAATACTGTCATCTGGGTGGATAACATTCCACAGGTTACGTAAAGATAATCTTTGCATCCGGCAGAGGTAAGCTTGTGGTGTATAATTGCACAACTGACTCGTTCTTATTTGAGGATTAAACACCTTGTTTGTTTGGCGACGTACATAATTACTATAGAAGATTACTGTGAGTTCTTGAACGCTATTCTTGTGCCACAACTCCAACAGCATGGATGTGTCGAGGATGTCACACTCATGTAAGACGATAACCCCATCCCAAATTTAGTACCTGGGCTCTTAGCTGTGATTTTCCATCATGTCTGATCAACTTTACCCCGATGATTACTGATTATGGAGCTTTCTGAAGATGTGGGACTATCGCCATAACCCAGTAACCATTTCTCACCGAGATAAGTTTGAACGATTCTTGGTGAGGTGTGTCGTAATGCAGTATCTAGTATTGTTGTCAGAATGAGTACAGCAATTAACAATGATAGTGACAACATTGAATAGTCGCTAAGACCAATGGAAAACACTTCTCGTGATTTCTTTTGCGTCCATGCAAAATATTTCGCCCCGATGTTTTAAGATTCGCCCTAAAAACTTCTAAATTCCCGTACTAACTATATAGCAGCTCTGTTTAATTAACTGCTTCTTAAGATAATAAAAAAGTAACATTTTTAATAAAATCTATTTTCTAATAACGAATCTATTTTATAGTATTAAATTCAGTCTTTGTAGTAAGTAACAAAGGAAAATATTTTATAATTATGCATTTTGTGTTCGCTCTTACTCAAAAGCTGCAAACTTAATGATATAATTTTTGTCTAACTTGTCTTTCAAGTTAACTTTTTTGTACCTGTTTTCAGGTAATGAACCCGCAGATTATACTCCAATCTACAACAGTCATAAACACACCCTTTATCCTAACGGCTCGCTTCTCATTCATTCCGCTAGCAAAGATGAAGAAGGCTATTACGTTTGTGAAGCCAGGAATGGATACGGAACAAACTTGAATAAATTGATTAACCTAACTGTGAATCGTAGGTATAGCTTATGAAGTTCAATGATATATAGATATAAGTTAGTTACTTAATAAAACCAAAAGTCTTATGTCTGTATACACTTCGATTTTTAACTTAACAATAAAATTAGAAAATCTCTACACACACTTTCTATGCCTCAGATGTTTGTTCAAAGATAAAATCTAAAATAACTGACCCTCACACCCGGTGGTTCAGCGGTAAGTCAGTGAGCTCATGACGCTACAAATTAAGTTTCAATACCCGTCGTGGACAGTGCACAAGTAGCCCATTATGTAGCTTTGTGCTTTACACCAAGCAAACAAAAAAATCTGAATAAAATTAAATACATTGATTGACACAGAAGAACGATCTTGACAACAACCAATATCGATTTAAACCTAAAAGACAAGAAAGTGACAGTAATATTAATATGTTGAAGTAACGAAAGAATTAAGGCTACGCCCAGTGTCAATTTGTTTGTCCTAAATAACATAAAAATCTGACCATGCTGTTTAAATGTTTACGACAAATAAAGCACTTATGAAACATTTTTTTCATACATTCTTTAAAATGTAAAGATAATACAATTAACATTGTTTCTTTGTAACTTGTATTGTCATGTCTAAACTCATTTTATATTTCTGTTTTTTTTTCTTTTTATTCTTAAGAATAAATCAAGAAATATTTTATTGTTGTTCCATTGCGTAGCTATGTGCTTCATAGCGAACAATCCTTTCATTGTTGTTAGCGCTAATGTTTTTTTCATTTTTAGAACATGTTTTAATTCAACATGGATATGCATTTTTTGTGAAATATAAATTCATCGTTATAGTCTAACATTTAGACTAAAATACAAAAAGAACATTTAAAAAATATGATAAATTATTTTCACTTAAAACAATAAAATATGAGGTGTTGGTGAAATAAACACCTGTATATGTGATTTCAAAAATAGTAAAATATCATCATGTGCTATTAAATGTGTAGGGTAACCTTAACAGAAAGAGTTAATTTCAGTAATTTCAGTGCAAAGTGAGTAATTAAAATTATCTATTTTTACCAAGTAAATCTCGCTGAAAAAACAGACTCTGCGATAAAAACCTGACGTGGCCTGATAGTTAGGGCGTTCCACCTTACAAACAACGGGTGGCAGGATTGAAACCCGTCCCCAAACATGCTTGCCATTTCAGTGTTATAATGTGACGGTCAATCTCACTATACGTTAGTAAATAGTAGCCCCAAGAGTTAGCGGTTGGTGGCGTTCGCTAACTGCCAACACCACCTAGCCTATCACTACAAAATCAGGTACGGGTAGCGCAGATAGACCTCGAGTAGCTTCGCGAAAAATTCAACAAAAACAAAAGAAAAAAGAAACCCTACCGTGAAACGTTTAATTAAACTTTTTCAACACCATATGAAAAAGTTCAACCTTTCTTTTGAAAGCGTGTCTATTAAAAGTTTCAGTGCGCTTTAACTAGCATAATTTAAGCGTTTCTAAATTTTGTTTACAACATCTACGAACAAATAATGTTTGCTTTCTTGTTGTTATTTTCAAATGAATATATTTAAAACTAGCTGGAGTACCCGTCCCCTGGGCGGAAGTGATATAAATTCATGATTAATGGAAGGTTATCTTAGAGTATGAAAAAGTGCTTCCCTTATATGTAATTGTAAAAAAAAAAAAAAAAAAAAACGCCCAAAAAAAACTCAAAACACAAAATGTAAAAACGCAATTTTGCATTTATCTCCTCAAGGACCCAATAAACTTAGTGAAGATCCATTTACAGGGGGCGAAGTAGTGGTAAAAAACGCCCATAAAAACCGCAAAACTGAAACTTTGTATGTATCTCTCCACGGACCCAATGAACTTCCACACCAGATTTGGTGAAGATCCGTCTACAGGAGGCGAAGTTGTTACATGGACATTCAACAGACAGCAGTATGATATCTATGTAGATGTAATTTTTAATTCAACATTTTGTCAACGTTGTGTAAAATTGTAATTTACAAACAATCAACCGCGTACTTAGAAAATGCCATATTGTTGACAGTACAAACTTATCAACCTTTATACGTGTTTATTCTGTTTTTAATTATTTCATGACCATGTCTTGTTTTACCCAAAGGAAAACCAACTAAGTTGTTAAGCCTGATAAACTGCCATATTGTTGACAGTACAAACTTAGCAACCTTTATACGTGTTTATTCTGTTTTTAATTATTTCATGACCATGTCTTGTTTTACCCAAAGGAAAACCAACTAAGTTGTTAAGCCTGACAACTTCCACCATCAAATATTAAAAGAAATGGACTTATTATCGAGAACTCTGAATGATTATTGTATAAATTCTGGGAATGCTGACAATCCTAAAGAAGAAAATACTTTACTGTTTCTTCCCGCGAAAACCAAATACAAACCAATAATATCAGTTGGTGATCACAAACTTTAATAAACCATTTCCATCGTTTTTAAAGTATATTTGATTCAGTGTAGTAATAGTGATGAATAAAAATTGTAATTACAGTATATGGTCCATTTTAATGTATATTTGATTAAGTGTAGTAATAGTGATTAATAAAAAATATAATTACAGTATATATGGTCCATTTTAATGTATATATTTGATTAAGTGTAGTAATAGTGATTAATAAAAATTATAATTATAATACATGGTCCATTTTAATGTATATTTGATTCAGTGTAGTAATAATGATGAATAAAAATTACAATTACAGTATATGGTCCATTTCATGATACCAAACTGAAGTCTGTATACTTTAAATAACTTTTTTCTTTACACAGGCTTGATATGAACGTGCATTTAAATTTCATTATACAAATTCTGGAATTTTCTAGGTATAATGTTTTTTTATTATTACATAGTTTTTATGTTTATTATGCAGTATTTATTTAAAAGGCCTTAAAGCTTTCTGACAGTTTACGTGACAGTTATTAAAAACAAATGTATTTTTTTTGTTATTAATATATCAGTTTCAAATATATTTTGACCTCAGATTTACTTGTGACTAATAAGTATGCCCCCCAGTAGCACAGCGGTATGTCTGCGGACTTACAACGCTAGAATCTGGGTTTCGATACACGTGGTGGGCAGAGCACAGATAGCCCATTGTGTAGCTTTGTGCTTAATTATAAACAAACAAGCTAATAAGTATACATTTTTCTCAGGAAGGTCTCTTCTCAGGTGAGAGTTTCAAAATTATTATCTTAAAAAAAGTATTCGATCTTTAGCTTTAGTGAATTATGTTGAAAATATATAATATCTTATTCAGTAAAGTCACTGCTATCATTATGCCTATTTTTTCACGGTCTTCATTTTTTCATCGTAGACTTATGCTGATAGTTGAATGTGTTTAACCCAATTTTTAAACTATAGTCTAAAGAAGAACTCGAGAAATTACGTATTCGTATTACCCAAAATTCATTTTTTACTAATTCTGAGAAAATACTGATTCGACGTTTCAGCCAAGCGACCGTAATAAAAATTCAAAAAGAGTTTCTATTCGAATTTACACCTTTCTCGTATCCTTCGTCGAAACTTTAATCAAGTTCTATCTCTGTTTCTCGTAACACTCTAATCTATTTCACTCTCAGGCTTGAGGATATCAATACGCTTGTGTCATGTCGAAATCGTGTATGTGAGTTATATTGAAGCTGGGTACTTATGTAGAAACTTATTCTTTACAGAGCCACCCATATTTAACGTCAAGTTCAGATCTCACTCGGTACAAAAAGGACAGTCAGTGGATATTCCTTGTGTTGTAGCAGGAGATCAACCAATAAAGTTTACCTGGCTAAAGGACGGCCTCACCTTGACCAACAGCTCACGATATCTGTAAGTTATGTGCGTATATATCATGTAGTGTTGTAGTAGTAAGAGATCAACCAATATCTGTATCTGTGAGTTATATGCGTATATATCATGTAATGCTGTAGTAGTAAGAGATCAACCAATATCTGTATCTGTGAGTTATGTGCGTGTATATCATGTAATGCTGTAGTAGTAAGAGATCAACCAATATCTGTATTTGTGAGTTATGTGCGTATATATCATGTAATGCTGTAGTAGTAAGAGATCAACCAATATATGTATCTGTGAGTTATGTGCGTATATATCATGTAATGCTGTAGTAGTAAGAGATCAACCAATATCTGTATCTGTGAGTTATGTGCGTATATATATCATGTAATGCTGTAGTAGTAAGAGATCAACCAATAAAGCTTACCTGGCTAAAGGACGGCCTCACCTCGCGATATCTGTAAGGTATGAGTGTGTATATCACACAATGCATTTTCTATTAGCCAGAAAGACACTCAGACCTCTTGCCACAATATTTATTACATGCACATGAGATTTAATGTGATATGGTAACATGAATTTATATATAATACATTCAACTATAGTTGATTTCGCTTTTTCTTTTTTGTTATTTAAAGATTGAAATAATTAGCTTTAGCGGACCAGCAGATATTTTTTATCATATTACTGTGCGAAAATGTAACTATTGTCTAGAGCTGTGATAGACATTCTTTGTATGAATTTGTGAAACACGGTTTTACTTGTGTAAATATAGTATACAGTTCACTTGTGTTAATACGGTGATAAATTAACAAACAACATTTGTAAGCACATTAATGTCTATTGTTGAAACTTATGACATATTTCTATAACACCTTACTCTTTCTCTCAAAGTGAAATGTTTACAATGATCCTAACTTTGCTTTAATCTTGTAAACATATGCATGGCAGTATTAATTTGGAACCTGATTCTCATTGAATAAAAATAACGAATACCTTATACACTTAATTATAATCTAGCTAAATAACTTGATAGATCGACATTGCAAAAGTAACAAAACTTTATCGGTTTGATGAGTTGAAAATCCATAATTCTTTCAACCGACATTCACTTCTAAGCAGTAATAAATTTATTTTACATTGCGTGTAACCTATAATAAGTGTTTTTATGTGCTTATCTTGCAATTTTACAGTAGCTATGCCTGAGAAATTATCCACCTAAGCTAAAGACGTTGCAACAGAAAAAAAACATCAAATAAATTCTCCAGTAAACAATGGAATTCTCAGAAGTTATTTTAGTAAACCATATTTGTTAAACAAATTATGCTTAAGTCTTATATTTAAAAGGTCTACATTAGAAATAAAATATTATAGTTTATTATAAATTCTACAACCCGTGAATGGTAGTTTTAGACGGAGGAAGTTCTGGACTTAAACACTCATATCTGCTTTTATTATTCTACAGCCCGTGAATGGTAGTTTTAGAACATTTTTAATGTATAGATGGAAGTTATAAATCTTAGAAGTTTATGAATATATATATGTGTGGATTTCTTTTTACAATTTCCAGAATCTCAGCGTCAGAACTACCGCTATCGAGCCACATGTCTACACTAAAGATTAGACAAACGAGCAGGAATGATTCAGGGACTTATTTGTGTGAAACTCGCAATAAGTATGGAGAGGATGCGGTGAAAATCCATTTATTGATTCAAGGTGAGTAGGGTATACAGCAAGTTAGTCTGCGCTTTTTAGCAACTAGCAATAACTGGTACCTATGAATTTCATTTCTACTTAGAACTATTAGGTGTCCTTCATTAGGCTGAGTTAACGAAAAAGATTAATTTTCTATATAAAGACTGCAAAAAAGGGAACTACTGACAGACAAAAAATAACAGAATCTCTCTCGCTATGTCTTGTATGTCCACATATTGCTTTGTAATTACAATAAAGGGAATAATCCTCTTCATAGATAACAACGATAAAGCATAGAACATTAGATCTCGTAGTTGTTTATAATTTTTTTACAGAGAAAAAAAAGATGGTCACTTTTAAGGCAAAAAGGCGGGAACTTGACCCCCCCCTGCCACACCCATGCACGTCACTTCATTATAGTTTTTGCTAAGGATATTTTCCGCTCTTAACTTGCAAATAAATATGGCGACGCCCTAAACCGTCCCTAAATTCTAACTACTGTCCAAAGAGAGGGCAACGAGTCGGTAGCACCTGCCGCCACAAACAGTTGTCTTGGTCTTTCAACCTTGAATCCGTCGATCCGTAGCCAAACTGGACTGTGCCCGGCCCTTGATAAATAGTATATCTACATAAGCGTACATCAACTACTGGGTACCATTAAATGTGGATTAACGGAGATTGATCCATTGATATATTCTTTGATAATGATAAATTTATTTTGACATCTGACTGAAATCACTGACGTTCTTCTTTCAAACATGTTAAATGCAATGAATGGCAATAAAATATCAACATTGTCCAAGTTTCAACATGATTAAAACTGAGAAAAATAAGAAAACGTATTTTGAAATTAAGCCGTAAAAATGAGCATTAATTATTGCTTTACATAAGGGAAAGAAAATTATAAATATATTGATCAAAAGCTTATGTTTCGAAAGGCACGGATCAAAGAATATTAGTGTTTCACTTGAAGTTGAAAGTCTGATAAGATGAATGAACGTCAAAGAAAAACGTTCAGACGGAAGGATAGTGGATGTCGAAGAATTTCAACATCAAAGCGATTCAAAACACACAGGAACCAAATGCAGAAATATGAGCTATGCATGAAGTTAAATTCAGCGACAGAAATGTCCAAAAACGACTGGAAGAAAATGGTCTGCATGAAAAAGTTTCAACAAAGAAAACTAATATTTCACGTATGAATGTCGTTAAGAGTTAAACTTTGCAAACCTCAGATAGTATAAAAATGTGTTTTCTGGAAACTAGTGTAGTTTTTTTTTCTCTGCGGACACGTGAGTCTCAGATGTTTAAGCATGACAAAACAATGAAATATGAAACGAGTCATAACGTTGTGGGAGGGGGGGTTCTCATACAAGAGAGGGAGAGTTACTCAAAAATAATAATGGTATTACGAATAAAGATAAGCATCAAAACATCCTGATTCTTTATGTAATAACTAGAGTACGACGTTTAATGGGCGCTGGTTTTGAATTTGAATAAAATAATGACCCTAAACAAGATGCCTTGCTGAGGAAAAGGTATTTAAAGGGGACGAAAAGTGTCGGCGATATACAGGTTATGAGACGACAAGCCTAGAATTTCGATGGTAATCCAATTAAAAATGTGCCGTATCATTTATAAGTATTATGTATTATTAAAAAAATAGAAATCAACCAATCTTCAGCAAAAAAAAATGAAAAAAATTGGTTTTTTGTCTCCAAACACTATATATTGATAATTAAATGTGTTTTGTGCCGAATGAACTTCTTAATCTAATATATTGTCGTACTAAGTAGATATACGTATACATGTATAACACGTAATCTTAAAGAATACTTTTCTTTTTGGAATTTTACATAAAAAATGTCAATGCTGATACCGTACTTGTGACCGTATTTGTGTAGTTATACAGAAAAGAAGACAAGAAAAACTTTGCGTTGATGTAATTTCAGATACGTATAAAGTGACTGGGCCCGGCATGGCCAGGTGGTTAAGGCGCTCGACTCGTAATCTGAGGGTGGCGGGTTCGAATCCCCGTCGCACCAAACATGCCAACCTCCCCATTTACCTGGTCCCAAGTCCAGGATGAGAAAGGAGAAGGGTTGGGCTAGCAACTCCACCCCTAAAACCAACCTGCTACAAGTAACTTGGCGAGGT